CACAATGCTCTAGAAATCTTTGCCTCACTCAGCTAATAGAATTCAACTGCACGTTACTGACATGTGACATTTGATACTTTGCTGCAGATTACTCTAGTGCTTTGGTCAAACTCTGTAAACTTATAACTCCGTGAACTGATATACACAAAAGAAACCTGTGATGTATTGTGCCATTTTATTCTTCTAAACATTTACATGATTTGTTTTCTGTATTGCAGAGGAGCATATGGTAGTGATTTCTCAAAAACTTTATCAGTGTTTTTTTTTATCCTTTTATGTTTTGTTGCTTATAGTTCTACCTTTTTTGCAGAGAGTGAAATTTCTGTAATTGCAAGTACTGGAAGATTTTTTCCTATGAGTAGAGATACTCAGTGCTTGGAACTTGCCTGGCTATCCTGACTGCTATCAATTCACCACGCTTTGTTTTGCTGGTTTTGATGCCTCCATAGAAATGGAATTTGTAAATGAACAGTGTCAGTGTCATTCCGAAAGTGGCATCCAAACTCCTAACAAACCACAGTGTAGCAAGGATTTTGAATGTGGGGTAAACTGTATATTTTAGCAAGGTTTTTGAATGGGAATGTGTTTTGTCATCAATATGGCATTTTAATTAGTTTGGAATTATTTTTACTCATTCATTTTTATTGCTTTTAATATCAATATGAATATAATATGAATCTTTTTCATGAAAGTGGTGCTTGTTGCACAACATTTATTTGCACTATAGGGGTATGTTACCACTTTCGGTCAGAGGCCTTCACAATTTCATTATGCATTTTCATTTATTTGCAGAAAGCAGGTGTTTTAATTGTTGGGTTTACACGCTAACATGTTCAGATAATTGCCAACCTTTCCTTAATACTGAATCTACGTGTATTCTGAATTCAAGAAAAGAACTGGGCTGCATTTGAATAGGCTTTTTTGCTTAGAAAAGTTCCCAACTCCTAGCAAATGACACGGAAGTATTAATGTGTTAGCCATGTTAAGTATGTTCGAATTCTCTAAATGCAACGTAAAGGTGCTTAAATGCTTCCTAACTTATCACCTTTACAGTAGGGTACACTGAACTATGGATGGGCAGATCTTGCTAAATTGGTAAATGTGTAAATGGTGGAAAATTAAGCCTTTACACGCTTAAACGACGGCCGGGGGTGAGGGGGGGGGGTTGATGCCATTAACTACTTTGCTTGTACTTAAACGACGACTTAAGGCTCACTTTATATTGATCTAAAATATAAACACTAACAATTGCTTCTCCAAAGGCGTGTTGTAGGCAAATTTATTTTTCATGTTTTGAATACATAGTCCAAACACCACACTACTTCCAAAGACAGCAAGTTCTTGCATCAGACTGTTGACAACCCACTGTCTGACAAAAAACAGTCTAAAGGGTGACATTATCCACTCCGCGAAAAAAAAATTGTCTTTTGGTCTGTCAAAAACAAACAAGCAAACAAACAAGAAAAAAAGCTCAGGTATCCACTGATCGAGCTGCAAAAATGGGTCAATCATAATAAATTACAATTAAGTGTTATAAAGCCAAAGAAATATGTCTTGTCTCACCGTTTATGCGTTTAGCTGCTGAGGGCAGTAACGATAGACTACACAGCTTCTTGGCTCCCAAGAGAATGTGGTTACATGTAGTAGTAATAATAATAATAAATAATAATGATAATAATGATAATGATGATAATAAAAGTAGCAGTCATATTAATGATAACTTTCCTCTATTATCTTAACAGAGAACATACAAAAGAACAATACAACAATCAAAGCCAGAACAACACTACATTTCATACATTCTTACTATTTGAGGTACACCTACATTTATTATTTGCAAAATAAGTAAATCATGGAACCTAACCATGTTTTGCAAGGAAAGCGTGCTGATTAAGCTTTGGGGAAAATCTGCTTTAGCATGGGTCCTCCTGAAACGACAACAAAAATTAATACATGGTTTTCCTTCAAAGAAAGAAAAAAAAGCATTAACAATGTTATTACGGTACAAACATTAACACATTATTTGGCTGTAACAGCCCATTTTAACATCCAGTGTCGTCTCGATCATACTCTCCAGTTTTCAAGTGGAACAGCTAAACCAGTGTTTCTCAAACCTCTCCTGGTGTACCCTTTGTCCTGCATGCTTTAGATCTCTCCCTGCTCCAGCACAGGTGATTCAAATGATTCGCTTATTATCAAGCAGCTTCTGGGGTTAATTATGACCTGATCATTTGAATCACCTGTGCTGGAGCAGGGAGCGATCTAAAGCATGCAGGACAAGGGGTACACTAGGAGAGGTTTGAGAAACACTTAGCTAAACAAAGCCTATTGCAAAGTCTACATCTCAACTTTTTTCTGATGTCTGGTCAAAGTGAGGCCAGGGGGCGCTTTTCTTTTCTCTCTGAGACGTTATTGACACGGACATGAGAGAGCTGAAATCGCACTGTGTCCACCACCCGTCCTGCTATGAGATTGACTGCGACCCTGGATCTGCTTCTGTATCATTTTTACTTTAACATCTTTTGTAACTTATGTTTTAATTCCTTGCGGTAATCACCGGAATTGACTACATTTTAATAATTGGCAATTATAAAAATTACATATTCATTTAAACAAATACTGATTTTCCTTCAGCTTTAGCCTCTTCTAAATGTTGACTTGTGTACACATTTAAACGGAACACCCCTCCTGCACTTAACCATCCTTTTCGCAAAGACAGGAGATAAAGCTGCGCCAGTTTGCGTGCGACAGCAATATTTAAAGCAAGGATCATCCATCTGGCCAATCACAAAGACAAACGTGACAGGCAAGTGACGCGTGATCACATCGCCAAGTAAGTGCATTCAGATTCTCTTAGCAACGCAGTTGTCTTCCTGAGCCGTTAGGAATTCCCCTTTGCACCTGTCCTTTACTTCATGACGTCTTTCACCGAGGCTGAAGAAAAGTGGTTTGGAATTAGACAATAGGCCGTAATTTTTTGACTATTCCAATGTAGCCCAGATGTTTTAATGGTTGGGTTCATATAGTAACCTGTTCAGATAATTGCCAGCCTTTCCTTAATTCTAAATCTGTGTGTTCTAAATTAAAAAAAAAAAAAAAAGTGGAATGTAACTGTTTACATGTACAGAAATAAACAGGCACTTTTATTGACCATAAGATGAATGATGATCCGTGTGAGTGAATTTGAAAAGGTCACCAATTTTCCTTGCTCCTTGTGTGGGTCCATACAGCACTGCCGGAAGCAGAGGTAGAAAATCCAGGTTTAGAAAGTAGAGTCCGGTCCAGTATTTTGTTCCGTTCCCCAGGATTTACAGACTGGCATAGCTCTTCAGCCAGCAGGTATAAATAAAGTCACCTGGCTGAATTCAGGGAAGAGGAAAAACATAGGACTTCTACATTTTGGCCCCTGTATATTCCACGTCTCGCCAAAGAAAGAATCAATTACTACTAATTTTTTCCCATCATATCTCCTATATCTCAGGGCTTTTTTTTAAATGATGTAAGAATGTATCCGTCATACCTGTATTACAAAACATTTCTAAAAGCAAACTTACTGTTATGGGCGGATAAGCTCATGGCCTGTTTAAAAAATTGAAAATGTCATTGTTTCTAGGGCTCAAGCTAGCTATGCTCTGGCGGATTTTAGTCCAACAGCAGTGTATTTTACTTTATTTGATAAATTGAGGTTGTGCATGTCTCCATCTTGCATGAATTTGTTTTTATGACCGCCCATCACCTTCATCCTCTTACCATTCCCCCGAAGGGTTTTCCTCCCATAAGGATGTTACTATATCAGAAAATTACTTTCGGAAACATTATGGATTCACCACCGACTGCCACTACGTCCACTACTGCTGCCACAGATCCTCCATGCCAGTGCAATAACTGGAACAGTTGTCATTAGAATCTTTTAAAATTTGGTATGGACATTTATAACCACTTGAGGAACAACTCTATCAATTTTGGTCAATTTATATTTCAGTTCAGTACTATCAATGAACTAATTAATTCCTGTTAAAACATTTTTGACTGAAATCTAAGTAAATGTCCCTTATATTGTCACATTAGGCTTAATGGGGCATCAAGAGTTGAGGAATTTGAAGATAGAAGTTACCCTTGCTGTTGGAACTGACAGCGTACTCATATATTCGTAAATAAGACTTTGCTTGTAATTACTTGACTGGCCAAAAACGTAAGTAAAATGCAGTGTTTCCCATACATTGACGAGACTATGGCGGCCCGCCATAGTCAAATTTACCCCGCCATAGTTTCAATATGCGCAAATGCCCCATGTTGAGATTACATGCACATCTAAAAAAAAAAAAAAAAAAAAAAAGAAAAGGTACCAGAAGACGCGCAATTTAGAAACCCCGATCCCCCAAATCAAAATGAGAATAATCACACTCCCTCCCTCCCCCCGCTAATCAAAATGAAAATCATCTCTTCAACCCTGCCCCCCCCCCCCCCCACGCTCAATAGAATGAGAATGACCACCTCCAGACATCAGTCTGCCACCACACATGTGCCCCCATAGCCTCCAAAAATTCTGTGGGAAACACTGAAAATGAATAAATAAACTTATTGAAAACATGCAATTGTAGCTACAGTGGAAAACTGCTATGTATCACCATTGCAAAATATACATTTGCCGGTAAGTATTGGTTATTACGTGGCTTTGTTGAATATTAAATACTGATTGGTCAATTACAGCATTCTAGTCAGTTATTTTTTAATTGCTAACTGCGGTTATAAGATAAGATAAGGTACACTTTATTGCACCCCGTGGGGTAATTTGTCCGCTGCATTTAACTCATTGTGTAGTTGGGAGCAGTGGGCAGCCACAAAGCAGCGCCCGGGGACCAACTCCTGTTCTATAGCCAGTTCCTTGGTAAGGGGCACTGGTAGGGGCACGTTTTTCTAGGTGGAAGTATATAAAGCACGATTTTCTTGGTGGGAGAAACCGAAGTACTTGGAGGTAACATGCAAACTCCACACAGAAAGGCCCCAGGCTGGATTTGAACCTACAAATCCTGCATGTGAGGCAGCAGTGCTAACCACTGTGCCACCGTGCCACCACCGGAATAACAAAACGTTGCTATGCAGTGTATGCAGGTCCAACTGCAGACTCCAACTGTGTTTTTTTAGCAGAAGCAATGAAAAAATGAAAAAAAACCAATGAAATCATTTTTAAATCACTATTTTTTTTGTTTTGGTTGGGTGATGTTGGAGCTTATCCCAGCATGCATTGGGGAAGAGGCAGGAATAGTCCTTTTTTAATAGCAATGCTTTTTTATCGCTGAATATTTGCTAAGAAGTCATTGAACAAGAAATGAAATATATGTTTAATGTACAAAATTCTGGTAGACTTAGTTTCTGCAGTGGGTCATTCCATATAGAATCAACCTATGAGTTCTGCCTGATCCCCCTCAGAATCACCTGATTTTTTTTTTTTGGGTACAGTAACCTTACAGTATTTAATGACGCCATGCAAAAATTTTAATCTGCAAACTATCAATATTTTCCGAGTAACGGGCCACAAAAGTACATATGAGTGGGTCAAAATTTTGCGCTTTTTAATTTTTCTTATTTTTCCCAGAATTTTTGAGTCCTCATAACTTGGGAAGTACTGGAGATCACCATCTGAATTTATCAAGGATGAAAAATGGATTTGAGCTCTGTCTAAAACTGCAGCCAGATCAATTTTACATCTACTCCTGATGTCTAGATCTTAAGGCAAAATCTCGTTTTTTGTTCCGTACGATTTTTTTCTATGTTTTTCTATTCTCTGAGCATTTGACGAATGCCACTCTGTATGCAATGCTCAGCCTTGACTAATTACTGTCAATAGACTTCCATACACACTCACCCTCACATTGAATCTATTAGAATAAATTAAAATGTTTTCTGCTGCATTTACTGTGTGATTATTTGGCCTAAAACATTGCACGATGGGCATTGTCATGCGATTTTTGATTGATGTTTCTTTTCATCCCTGCATTCTTTGCAACTTCTGTTCTACCCTGCAGGTGTCATTCCTATCAGTTTAATAAAACAACCATGTTTTATCACTTTTAGAATCAGTACATTTATTATGAGCGGTTTCCCAATTACATAACCTGGTCTCGTCTGATGTTTTTTAAGTGAGGGTGTGTGCATTATAAAAATAAATGGACAACAATTTTCACAAGAAGTATTTACATTTTCTGAGTACAAAATTGGCAACACTTTACATATTTACAAATAAATAAAGTTTGTATTGACAGTGTACAATGCATCTCCCAATTACTTGGTGTTGTAAATTACTTGGTGTTTTTCTCGTTCAAGAGTAACTTATGTTGACAAATGACCTTTAAACAGAGTTAAAAGGGTGTTTCAGCGTGCTTTCAGATTTTACAAAACTGATCTGAGTCCAGATGTATTTTAACTATAAAGATGAGATTGTATTTATGCATTCATGTGTATAAAAAACCATTTCTTGTCAAACATATTCTTGCACAAGTAGAATATTAGAATGTATACAATAATGAAAGTACTGAACAACACATTGCTGGTGGGATGCTGGTACATTAATCAAGTCGTTGAATTGATCAGTCACAGATGGTGATTTGCAGCCACTATAGTGTTGACCCAGTGCATTTGTGCTATTTTTTTCTTTTCTTTTAGACATAGTACAGTAACAAACCACAAAAATAAGTTGATCTAAAGGGCTATCCTAGCGCAGAATTCCATTCTTCAAGGTTTCTCTTTACTGATTTGGTCCATGAGCATTAGTAAAGCACCCGTGCATTTTGCTGATTTGATCCATTTAATATTGCCGCAGTATCTCTTCTCTTTTATGAAAAAAAAAAACTGATTGAAAGAAGCAAGGTGAGAGCAGAATTGGGGTTTTTCATGTTAAGATGCAAATACTTGGAAAGAGCAGACACGTGCCCTGTTGACACACAAAAGAAAAACATGGGAATATCAAACAGGGTTCCATGTCAACACACAATTACTATACTCAGACATTGTTTTTTTTTTTTTTTTTTACATTAATTACAGTAATGTAGTCACAAGTGAACTAAAACAAATCTACAAACTGAACTCTTATTAATTCTAAATAGTCCCAAACAAGCTGTACTTGTAGACTTTTTTATACATCTTTATACTATAAATAAGGATGCAATTAAATATATCCAGCAAATTTTTTTTTTTTTTTTTTAAATTGAGGAATAACTACATAAATATCCTTACATTCACATAGACAAATGCAAACTTTCTTTACAGTGCTTTCAGGTTGTGTTGAGTGCTTAAATATGCTTCCCCACCAATTCTAGTATCCCTTTGTATTAAATAATCTTTTTAAAATGTATTTATATCTTCTGGATAATACAGAAAATGAATCATGTGTAATATAAGTAATACCGATTAGCTGTGATTCATATATCAGCATTTAGTATAAGAGCCATTTTCTGATTAAGGAATCATGACTTTCTTTATCAATGCAGTATGTACATTTAAGAAAAGGCTATTTTCATTAAGTCTTAATAAAGAAATCATGAGTAGCTTTTTAAAAAGTTGTTTTACAGAGAGGCCTCAATGCACCAATGTTCTCTCTGAATTAGTCTTCATTTTGTATCATTGGAGTCATGTGGAGGTCATGGCTGTTGCTTGAAGGCAGTGCACAAATACATCGCTAGAAATGACACCCTGCCGTATCTGCCGTATCTCATTTCCTTTGTTCAGCTATACATCAGTGTTTCTGAGGCGCTACACTCACCTGCAGTACTTAGTCCCACACTCCGAGTGCTCTCGGCAGCTGGCTCCCACTGGCCGAAGGGTGTTCCACCGCCACAGCAGAGACCGCTTGGCACGATATATCATGTTCGTACCCCAATCATTCGGCAATGGGGACGTCTGTACCTGGAGGGGACACACACACACATACATAGGTCAATGTCCAGGCTCCATCCAAAATTCAGGTTTCCTCTTTAGGCAGTGGACCACTGTCCTGCCATTTGCCAGAAAGTTCATCGTGAGAATTCACAAAACCAGACAGAGAAAGTCTACCGTGTTTGCGCAGGAACTGTGTGTCAAGATTAGGATTTCTAAAGTACAGCACTCTCTTCTTGATAACAACCTGTTCCCACCAGCCAGTGCAAAGAGGTCATTTAATGTAAAACTTTGTACGATTTACTCTTGTTCTACTAACTTATACTGCCTTAAGGCCTCTTTAAAGGAAAAAATACTGAGTTTTTGAGCCATCTGTTCATGTCTGACCTTACAGTCTAATATAATGTAATTTTTTTTCATTGTGAATCTGTATGCAACATAAAGCTGATCTTTCCTCTAATCTCAATGTAATCTCCTGCAATACCTTCTATCATTCACCCAACTAGATATGCAGCACTGTGGCATTAGGACCAACTGCAGCAAATTGTAAAGAGACTAATATGAATTGATCTTTCTTGGATTTCAACAGCAGAACTGATGGCACTGTGAGACTTGGCCAACACAGCATGTCCTGCATATAGCGAAATGTACATGAGTGCTGTGTTGATCATTAAACTCCAAATGCATCGTTCATTCCCAAAAAAGTTTAAACACAAAGAAAATGTCATAACTCAGAATCTCGTCCAAAAATGCAATAAAAGATACACAGGATTTTTAAGTAGGTTTTCCATTTGAGAAACTTCAGATCATCCAACCTGTGAAAGAATTCCTCATGGAGTCATACCTGTAGGGCACAGAGCAGCGTCAGGAGGAAGAATGCTACAACAAGTTTATGGTAAAAGTTCCTCATGTTTGGCTGCCTACGAGTTGTGTATTCAACTAAAATAAAGCCCGAGAAGCAGATGGATTTATATTAGGAAGGATTATCTTCTGATAACACACAGGTCAATGAGCAAAGGGCACACTACCCGTGGAGATGATGACGATTCCACGTCTGCTACTCCACAGACCTTTTGCCACCATAATTGCATACTGCATTCAACGAAACAGAATATTGCAGATACTACTGTGTTAGTGAGTTATATTTAGTCCTCATAGGGTGTGAAAAGTGTTGTTACAAGCTTGCGTTTTGCTTAGATGATCTGAATTATAAATGGCAAACTTTTTGTCTGAGTGAGCATTCTGACCTTAAAATAAGAAGTTCCTTTAATGAATACTTGTGGTTGCTGATGCAGCTTTGTAGAAAAATGGAGGAAACTCTCAACTTTATCAAGGAGAAAAGGCATGTTTTTGGTTTGGAGAGGTTGCTGGGACCACTCATGTCCAGTGGCGCCTATATTGATAAACTCATGCTAAATTCAACCAGAAAATCATGAATTCATATTGCATTTCATGAGTCATAAGTTGATTTGTGTTAGAAATATGATTATTTTATGATTTGACTGTGCGCCATTTTGAGGGCTGTGAGTGTTTAGGAAGCCACCTGGGGAGCTGTCTTATTTGGCTTCCTCTTTCGAAGCCAAATAATATTTCATGCTCAAATGCAGAATACTTGTGGTCTAGTTTATGATCCCAGCCATTTTTTAATGTTTTAACCCGCAGCCATTTTTCAATCCTGAGTATTTTTAAAAAATGATTTAAATGCTGAATTTTCATGATTTTTTTCTTTTTGTTTGCAGCCCCTTTTCTCGACCAAAATCATGGAAATAAACTGAGATACGATGGAATTCTAAATGCTGCGAGTGTCTTATCTGAGTCCAACCAAATTCCCCCTCTCTGAAGCTTAAATCTTGAATTAAAAAGGATTAAATAGGGTAACGCATAAATAGCCATATTTGGCTTCTGTTCTGGGATTGTGTGTATACTGTACGGTCAGCAGACTGCAATTCATTTGGCTGTGAATATAGGCTGCAGCCTTTGATTATACTGGCCACACATGAACAAAAGTATCTGATTAATCTATCTGTATATATATGCACAGTAGTCCCCAATTCACTTAACCTAGCAGTGCATATGTTCAGCAGCGCATGAATAATTTCGCTGCAAATGCGAACGGCAGACCCTGGTTCACATAGCTGTGCTTGGGGACAGCAGTTTTCTATTTATTTATCAGTACACATGGACAGCAGTCTTCTATTGA